GTTGGAGCTAGCAAGAATCCACAAGGATGGATGGAGAAACAAAAAAGAGTCGGTGCCACCTGCGGTGAAGATTTGTGTGCCCATGCGTTGTCATCACGCGTGACAAAAAAACTCATAGAGAGTGGGCCAGAACAGGGCTGCCAACAAGCCGCGAAGCAGCTGCTGCGCGCGGACGAGAGAGAGCGAGAGGTGTGGGCTGTGGCTGGGCCATTTGTTCGGTTGGGCGAGAAGAGCATAAAAGAAAAAGATAGGTTTTCGTTTTTCTAGATGTGTGGACGGACGCTCACGTCCGGATGCCCGTGCAGTCCATCCCCGTCCACCTTCGCCTGCCCACAAGTGCACTCCATCCCTGTCTTTGTGCCTGCTAGTACTTTCGCTAACCCCCTCCTCTCTCTCCGACTCTCCGCGCGGGTGACACACTAACACATAGGAGCCGGGATGAGCGATTGAGGACGAGCACGCCCCCAGCATGCCCCGACCTGTAGTAACATTGATTCGTCAGCCCCTAGTGCCCCTGTCCGTCCCCCTAGCCAGGGGCGGAGACAAGAGGGGCGGGCAGGGGCCCAACCCCTATGAACGTGAACTTTCCACTATTTTTTTTAAACTTCAAATAATATTTGAAAGTTCAACATTGTTGGCCCCCCTAACATTGAAAAATCAACTTCTTGGCTTCGCCCTTGCCCTCGGTGCACCGCGTGCCCCGTCCGTCGGCCCTCAGCTTGCCCCCTAGCCAAACAACATAAAACACTTGTAACATGAATGCAACATAAGACTGAAAACACATCAAATATTTGGAACATACTTTTGCAACATGTGTGTAAAGCACATGAACACATCAAAAAATACACTTACAACATGAAACCACTTGCTGCAGCATAAGACTGAAACAACTTAAACATTTGAAATATATTGTTGCAACATATGCAACATCTAGATTAAAAACGATTGCAATATACGTGTGGAAATAGATAAAACATTTTGAACAAATGCTTGCAACATGCCCCTAAAACACTTGCAACATATGCAACATGTGCAACATCGTCGATCTACTTTTGCAACATCAAGATAACACAATTGCAACATACATCTGAAAATGCCTGAAACACTTGAAACATACATATGCAACATAGGGGAGGGAAAGATCGGACCGGTCGATTCTGACCATCGAGGTCGGAGCCGGCGACGAGCTGTGGCATGCGAGCACCACAAGCACCGCCCACGCTCGTGGGTGCCCTTGGCTCGGTCGGGAAAGACCTGAGGTCCCACGGCACACGCGGCCCGCGGCCATGGCGGGGTCAGCGGCGTGCGTGATGGCGATGGGAGACGAATGGACGGACGACTAGGGAGAGCAAGCACAAGTGTCTGGGACAGTCGCGCGGTGTGGCCGGCGATGGGGTGCGAGGGCAGTAGGGCATGGACAGCCGATGAGCTTGTGGTTGGGGAAGGGGCACAGACGAATGAGCGGGCACGCTGCTATGTCGGGTGTCAGGATAAGGATGAGCGAGTTGGAATTCATTTTTCTGTTTCTGAGAGAGACGAAGAGATAGGGCCCGCTCCAACGAAACCACATTCGGACAAGAGTCACGGGCGGACGACCATGGCTTATCATTATCGTTATGCAAATGAAGCCAAATTCAAAACTCAAACAAAACTTAAGTGGGGTCACGAGCTTTATCTCCTACAACTAAAAAGAACAAAGTGTGGATATTTTTTGGTGCGACATTTGTTTTGGTTCGTCCATCTGCCCACGCCTGCGATCCCACGACATCTTAATTACTAATTGATTGTGCCATTCTCCTTAATTGAATATTGCTTGTCATGTGATAGAGGAATTACGGCAAAATAGGAAGTAGAAAATTATTGTGCTATCCATATACACATTGCATGTTTGCATGCACCAGCATACATGGCAACGAGCAAAAGAAAAGAGAACTAACACAGAAGGAAAAGAGAATTAAGACAAAAGGAATCTCTTTGCATTTCTGAGAATCTTGCCAAATCTGCCTACATTTAATTACTTCCCCTCTTTGCACTTGTAAAAGAGACAGCTTTTTTCTCCTTTCATTTGGTTTCACGCTCATGTGTTTCATCGCCCTTGCTTGCTGTTTCTTGTGTGAACCATAGTTGATATCATTTGTCTTTTATGGCTCAGCCTTCCAATCCTAAGAGAAGGTCCCTACCTCTCCCTGACTGAAGATCCGGCCTGCCAGAGGATCTCCTCGAGTCCATCGGGCAGCGTCTCGCGTCAAGCCACGACGCGGCGTCCTTCCGATCCGCTTGCTCCCCATGGCACGACGCCGCCCGTTCGTGACCTTCGGGCCGCTCCTGCTGCTCCCGTTCGACCCGACTTGGACCGCGTTGGCTTCTACTGCGTCCCGGAGAAGAAGGTCTTGTCCAAGACGCTGCCCGACATGCGCGGCAAGGTGGCGTGCGGCTCCTCATGTGGTGGCTGGTGCTCATGGATGAGGCGGCGTCCGTGACGCTGCTGAATCCATTCGTCGGTGCCCATGCCCCCGTGTTGAGCTTCCACCAGCAGGCAAACACGTCGCGGTGGCGTCCTCATTGGAACACGTGTCTAGGGTCCACGGCCGGTGGATCCTCCATCCCACTAACGGCTACGGGGACGCGGATGCTGCAGGTAGAGCCAGCCATCTAGAAGATATGAGGGACGTGTTCTTTCGTGAGATCGTGCTCTTGGCGCCGCCTGACGCCGCCGGCCGTGAGTGCGTGGCCATGGCCATGCTTGGATGCTCCACGGAGGTCGCGTTCTGTCGGGTTGGAGTCGACAGCGCATGGACGCTGCTCGACACCAAACTGGAGTTCTCCGTGGGGTCCATCGTCCACTGCCAAGACAAATTCTTGGCGATCGACTGCACCGGAGAAATCTCCGTCTGCAACAGCAACGCCGCCGGCTCTACTCCAACCACGACGCTGCTGCCATCGCTGTCGCTACCTGCGGGGCTCTGCCATCGCAGCTACCTAGAATCAAACGGTGAGCTACACATTGTGGGTGCCATGGTGAGCACGTTCCACGAGACACAGAGATTCACCTACAGCAGTGCGATCTACAAGTGCAACCTCCACGACCGTACGTCAGAGTGGTCCAAGGTGAGAGACATCGGTGATCAGATACTGTTCGTGTCTAAACATTTCAATGAAAGATTCAGTGGAACAAATGTATCCAAATACAAGGAGAACAAAATCTACATGTCTGAGCCATTGTCTGGGGATCCATACGACTTGGTCCATCGACTGAAGATCGTTGATATTGGTACCGGCGCATCCGAAGTGAAGCCCATCCAGGAAAAGATGCAGGGTTCTGAGGCTCTAGGTTGGATTTGACTTAATCTCTGGAAGCTCTAGAGTTTGTAAGCCTGTGACGCCGCGTACTCCGTGACTATGTTAAATTCATAAACTTTGCTTTTTGATTAAAATTCACTTTAACGTTGGTATTTAATTTAACAGTATTGTTATCTTATCGTACGATCCGTGTGTTTTTAGTATAAATTGTTAGTTATCCCGTAGCAACGCACGGAATATATATATATATATATATATATATATATTTATATATATATATATATATACACACTATCTTGTAGTTGGCTACAAAATAACTTATTCTGTAGCCACTTTGAGTTACAATAATTAATAATTACTATGTTAATTTACGAGATTATAGTAACTCCTTACTAAGTGGTTTACTATAACGTTATGGTAAATGTCCCCATGTGTTATAGAGAGAGTATATTCAGTAGTTAGCTATAAAATAAGTTATTCTGTAGCCACTTTCATTTACGATAATTTTATATATTAATTACAATAATGTCAATACATATTTACGATAGTTGGGTTATTATAACACATGGGGATATTTACCATAACGTTATAGTAAACCACTTAGTAAGGAGTTACTATAATCTCGTAAATTAACATAGTAATTATCGTAACTCAAAATGGCTACAGAATAAGTTATTTTATAGCCAGCTACATATAGTATATATATATATATATATATATATATATATGAAAAATTTCTCTGTATTACTCGAACAACGTCTTCTGTATGAGACCCACTTACCCGGAATCAGTTCATTCTTATACGAGTTTGTCCGTTCCCAAGATTTATCCGTTCACCACCACGGCGAGGCGAGCTGCGCCTCCGGTGTCCCACGCAGCGACAGAGCGACTCCAACCCGGCAAGGCAGCGGTCCCGGCGTCCACCTCGCGGGCGGCAAGGCACGACGCCTCGGCCGGGTCGCGGGTCCAGCTGTTGCTGCTCGAGCTTGGTTCACCACCGCTCGTCCAGCTGGTTCCTCTCACCACGCTGCCACCGATGGCGACGAACCCGGGCGTCCTCTGCCACGCTCCCCGACCCTCTCCTGCGTCAACGGCCGCCGCCCCGTCGCAGTCCCTCTCCCTCCTCCGCCTTCGTACGCATTCCCCAGTCGACCCAGCGCGGCCGCCTCGCCGCAGCTCCACCACCACCACGTAAGGCACCAATACATTTCCTCCTCCGCGCCGCCCCCCCCCCCCCCCCCTGTCTCTCTTTTGTCAATTCGTGAATTCAGGTCTAATAGTTTTTATAAGTTTATGGGTGGTTTAATAGTTCAAAATGGACTATAAGCTCTTTATTTTTTTTAAAAAAAGACCATAAGCTGAGGTGTTTGTATTTGCTAGAATTTTTTTTTAGCTGCTAGCAACTTTTTTTAGTCAATTCGAACAGGGCCGGAGAACTTAGAAGCAACTTGGGGCGAGGAACTAGGGATAAGTTATACCACGTTTGTGTTGCCTTAGAGGTGTTCGATGAATCGCCGTAATGCCCCATTGGATGTTGCTGAGCACTGAAGGGATTCAGTTATGAGGCACAAGTATTTTTGTTTCCTAGGCCAATTGCGATATTCCTTTAGTGAAAATTCTAAAAAAAAAATAACTGCCTGCTTCGATTGATCATAAAAGATGGAACCCGAGCCTTGCAAAGTTTGAACTTTTTTTAGACAATGGAAAGTGCAAATTTTGATCTAGAGCCCACATCTGGTAACAGTAAGATAAGATTACCTGGGTGGATATGTCAATGAACTTCTTTCCATATATTAGGAAATTGTGGAATTGGGTTATGTGATTGAAGTCAGAACTGCAAAATAATAGAGTATTTTCTTATTGAAAATTCCTTTTAGGGAATGATCTTACTGCAGTTCAATTGTTTTTTTTTTCTTATGACTAATCTATGCTTGTTAAGGGGACCTTTATTGAGTTGGATTATACCCCTTTCTCTCAGTGTGTATGCTCCAGACGCTCATGCTTACATTATATAACTTTGAAAAATATGTCCTACATCATTAACTACATTTAATTACAGGTTGTGTAGCTAGTCCTACCATTGCTAATTCGAAAAACCAAACTGATGCTGAAGTTGCAATGGGGTACACAATGACTGAAATCTGCGACAAATTCATTGAGTTCTTCATGTATACGAAACCAGAAACAAAGGACTGGAGAAAGTTATTGGTGTTTAGAGAGGAGTGGCGAAGGTATAGGGAGCACTTCTACAAGCGCTGTCAAGTGCGCATAGATATGGAAACTGATCCTTCATTGAAACAAAAGTTGGTTGTACTTGCTAGAAAAGTTAAGAAGGTAAGTCCTTATCTGTTCTCCTTACGTACAATCACCAATTTAAGTGAGTTTTCACAGTTGCTGGTATAATTTCTGTCACATCAACCTTAAGAACTCCATGTATTAAGATTACAAGATATTATTGTTAGATTAGGTGCACTATAATCAAAACAAAAAATATCCAGATGTTCTCATAATTATGTGAATATTGTTCATGTTTTTAATTCAGATAGATGACGAAATAGAGAAGCACATGGAACTCTTCACTGAGCTCAGAGAGAACCCTGCTGATATTAATGCTATTGTTGCAAGACGACGGAAGGATTTCACTGGGGAGTTCTTCCGCCATCTTAACTTCCTTGTGAATGCTTATAATGGCCTTGATGAGCGAGATGGTAACTACCTACCTTCTATCAATTTTTACTCACGTATCGCACTTTATTACTTGATTCATACCAAGGTGATTAACCGCTAACATATAATCACACCATGTTAAGGTTATTGAAACAGATCAAATTTGAGATCTTGATTCTTTGTTTCCTGAGCACATGGATCATGATTTCTGGTTAGCCAAAATTGCAGAAGAACAAAAATGTTACATGCAGAACATAGAAGTATCACTAGATTGTCTTTATTTAGTCTTGTTTGTTGCTTCATCTGGGTTGGTTGACAAGGTCAACATATTGTAATGAGCATGTGGTTACTGGTTAGTACCAAATTCTTGTTGTGTGAATTGGCAGGCAAATGTATCTACTTTACTTTTAGTTATTGTTCTGAATATTGTACTTTATATTATGAGCTGATTAGTTCTCAATATTATGCAGGAATAGTCAGGCTTGGGGCCAAATGCCTATCTGCAATTCATGCATATGATTGCACACTGGAACAGTTGGATATCGAATCTGCTCAGTTGAAGTTTGATGATATACTGAATTCCTCTTCACTAAATGGTGCTTGTGACAAGATCAAAAGCTTAGCCAAGGCTAAAGAACTTGATTCATCTCTAATTCTTCTCATTAACAGAGCTTGGGCTGCTGCAAAAGAATCTACAACTATGAATGATAAGGTTAGTCTTAGTGCAATATAAACAAAGTTGTATAAGTTTCCCTGTGTTTAAGCATGATTTCTTGCTCAATTCTGGCCCACCTGGGTTGTTGGTACAGTGTTACACTCAACCCATTATGAGATATCGATATCGTGTTGATTGGCCCACTGTGGTACTATCAAACAACATAGACCATCGAGGCTAGAAATATAACCATCTTGTCAATTTGTGCTTCAGCAGAAATCAGGCATTAAGTAATGAAAAATTGGTATATATGTATAAGAAATGTAACATAGCATTTTGGTATCCTGAGAGTTGATGTAATACCACCCGGCTTCATTGTTTGGTAAATTTGCATAAAGTTTCATTTTTCCTTTATATTCTCTTTGATTTTTTTTTATGTAAATCTTGAATAGGCAAATGTTTAATGATTTCTATTGTCTGTTATGGAAGTTCAAAACTTATAATTCGTCATAATGCTTATTAGGGTTCAGTGAGCCTTCGTAAAAATGTAGACAAGACTAGGTGTAGCAAATATCATGGTAAAGCTAATCTAGATGACTCTAATAATCCTCCACAACTTTTTAACTAAATAAAATTGTTGTCTTCAGTGCCAGGATTATTTTTCTGGTACATCTACTATGTTTTTCCATGCATCATTGTAATATGTGTGCTAGATCACTACTATTCATATAATGCACATCTAGGATATTATGATTAACTCAAGCCTACCTTTGCCTTTTACAAGTGTACAAATGTAACATCTCAGTTTGTATTCCTAGCTTACATGATACTGAATGAGTTGTTTGGCACAGCTCAGTTTGTATTCTAAAATCAAGAACTTTGAGACTATTTTTTTTCTAGAGTGGAAAGAAAACAGCTTAATCAAACAATTCAGGTGTACGCTGTACCCATAGCTCCAACTCCACATTCCTGGAGTCTGGATCTAGGAAAACCCAACTCCAACTCCACAGATTTCTGAAGCTAGGAGTACTCAGCTCTAAGAATTCTTGGAGCTAGATCTCTGCCAAACAAGACCTAAGTGGATTCTATTTCCAATTCATATTTGAAACTGAATCACCAACATGTTGTATAAAACCACATACCTTTTTGGTACTTACTAGTTGTATGGTGAAGTAAGTAACATTGGCTAATATTTTGAATAGGCAAATGACACTATTATAAAACTAGTGCCTAAACATTGTAGATAGTATTTGCTGATTCATATACATGGCATAGGTCAAGGACATAATGTATCATATTTATACAACTACAAAAGAAAGCCTCAAGAACATCTCACCTCCGGAGATGAAGCTTCTGAAGTATTTGCTGAATATTGAAGAGCCTGAAGAGAGATTTGGTGCTCTTGCAACTGCTTTCTCTCCCGGAGATGAGCGTGAAGCCAAGGACGAAGATGCTCTTTACACGTAAGATTTTTTCAACAAAGATATTTATTTGTTGTCTCTATTGATTTTATTATTGCAAAAGTCTTCATGATGTGGCATATCAGTTTTGTCGGAGACATGTAGCTGTTCTTGTTCCCTTATCGTCCTTAGGAATAAGTCTACATAATCCCCTCAGGAATTGATGTTTGACAACTAACTTCTCAAAAATTGTCAAAATAACTTCCTTGTGGACTTTGGAGGGCGGTTTTACTGATATGGCATGCTGGCTAGACAAACTTAACTACACCATATGCCACATCACTCTAGACCCACACTTCAGTGTCTTACTCTCTCCATCTCTTTACTCCCTTCACCTCTCTCCACCACTAACAACCACCATGTCAACATAGGCTGAGAAATACGCTAACTCCAAGGGGATCAAATCATGTGAAAGCTTCGCCAAACCACATCTTTCTTTCTATGCAGCCAAGACAATGACAACATCTCTCTTTGTCTGATGAGGACGATCAACATCTCATTCACTAAGTCACTACCACACCAATGAGTGTAATGTGCCACATGATCAAAACCACCTACTTGTTATTTTGAGGGTTCAAATATTTCGGGATGCTCGATACCTGGCTCATAGTTAAGGGAGTTAAGTTGACAAACAGCATGAGGTTATGTAGATTTATTCCTTTTCTTTGCTACTATTTGAGTTGATTGGATTGATCCATGGGGAATTTGATTAGTTTATCCTCAAAATTAAGTTTTTTTTTCTGGTCACATGCTCCACTTAACTGTGAGCTAATGTTATCAAGTGTTAAGCTGGATTGTCCAATCATTATGTCATGAGATAGTCAATTCTTAATGAGAATGTATAATATAAAATTGGCTGCATGAATCTGTACGGGTAATTCTGTTATCTAAATGCTTTAATAACATTATAGCTTATTGAGTTCCTTATGTGTTACCACAAAAGTTTGGCATCAGAGTAATATCTTTGGAAAGGGTTTTAATGAGGAAATTATAACATTTTACCTAAGAAAATGATAGTTCACAATTGCTGCTGCCCTTTTCCGATTTTGTGAAGCTCAACTAGTTAATGTTTGGGACTGCCTTGGTGCTTAACTATTATTTTCAGTTTCTCGTGTGTCCATGTAAACTATGCATGTTAAATGGTTATGGGAACATTGTCTTTTTATGTTGATGCATTGGATTTGCAATGTGGAACAAATGTTCGTACTTCAAAGGGAGGCTGAACTTTGAAGGCCAGAATAGACTGTGCATTCGTCCTGTTAGAAAGCAGGTGGTTGGCTGCCCAATAAATGGGTGCCATTTTACTTTTGAGCGTTTTTTTTTGTGATAAGGTTGTGATAGGATAGTAAAGATACTTTCAATGCATTGGCATAATCCGGTCTTTCCATGCAGAACTCCCAACGAACTCCACAAATGGATCAAAATGCTGCTCGATTCATACCATCTCAACAAGGAGGAGACGGATTTTATGGATGCGAGAAAGATGAGTGACCCAGTGATCATCCAGAGGTTAACTTTGCTGAAGGAGACGATCGCAGAAGAATACATGAAGCAGTACATACATCCCGAGGAGGAAGAATCCATGGACGACAACTAGCACCAGAAGACTGAACGAGCCTGTATGTGTAAGCCGACTTGGAACAAAAGCATCTGGTCAAGATTCAGAAGGGATACTTTCTCATCGCTGACAACGCTGACGATCGATATATAATTAGATAGCACATGCCCTGCTGCTTTTATTTACGAGAGATGGATGGTAAATTTGTAGCATGCCAATGGCAATATCATAAAGGGTACTTTCTGTTACAGTCGTAAAGCTCAGGGTTTGTTTTGTTCTTAGGTTCGCAATTTTACCGGTCGCTTAATTCTGCACATCTATTTTCCGGAGCTCTGGTAATGGCCAACGGATGTCCGGTCTGGGACGCCTATATAAGACTTGCCCGTGACTTTTCATCACATCTCGTTTTCCCCAGTCACTTTCTTGTTCCTCGAGCAGTCCCTCTGCTCCCTCTCTCCCGTGCACTGTGCACACCCACATGCTCATAAATTGAGGGATTTGCTCGTGCTAAGGCTAATCCATGTAGGATTTGGATTCCCACTTGCTCTCCCTCTGGATCTGCCGCATCTCATCTTCTTTCCTCACGCATTATGCTCGATTGATCAGAGGGGTCAAGCGGCCCTTGAGGTCACTTGTAATGACCACCCGATTGCATGTATCCTGCTTTTCATCGTCTTTAGTGTTTGGTTCTGGCTAAATTTTGGACTTTAGCTGCCTGGGGATTATCGTCAAAACGAGGTGCTTTGAGCGGATCCACACAGGGTTTTGTCGAGTCCCTTATGCCATACCGTGATCTATGAGACTTTGAAAGAGGAAAAGAGAGCATAGACAGGCGGCATGCATGATTATCGTTGTAGCCCCCAAGCACGTCAATAAGTTAGTATAACATGTTGATGTGCTTTACATAGGATGGGGACAATCTCAAAAGAACGACTGCAAAAGCTAGCCCCCGAGTATCCTAGAGAGGTTCTCTGCAAGGTACTCGCGAGTTCGCAATTTATTCATGTGACAATGAAATGTTTTGCAGAATTGAAACGATAACCATAAAGACTGAAAAATAAAAATGAACCTAACATAGCTGGAAATCATCGGTCGCCTCCTCAAGATCCGATGGGGTTCTTCCCATTGTTGATGAGGCCTTCGTCCTATGCTTGCTTGGTGTGTCTTCGGGAGTAGGGGCCGGTGGCGGATCGAGTTGATGCCGAGGGATCAAGGGCGGCGGGAGACGGTTGCCTTGGGGCCATCAGCATGAGCTTGTTCTCGGGCAGCGAGCAGGGGTAACCCGAAGCCCCCGAGCGAATCCTGCCTCTTGGCCCCAGATCTAGGGCATTGGCCTCCGCGTATTCGACGGCATCCCTCTCGCACCGGTAGGTGTTCTGGAAATTTCCAGATAACATTATGACGTTGCGCGGCCCCAGCATTTTTAGCTTGTTTACACCAAACTTTGGAGAGAAAAAACCGGGAACTCGAAACTTTCAAAATCGTGTCAATTCAAGAAATCGATTGCATAAGGATCGATATCAGCTGATTCAGATATGACTCTAGAATCGGATCTCTTTGGATGACGTCAGCAGATAGCGATGATGAGCTACGGTTGGCGCCAGGAAACTACATGTCGGACTCTACAAAAAGGAAAGATTATGGTTCAAGTTATCTTAAATTAGGAATGTTTTCGGCTATGCCAAAGATTGTAATGAGTCGTGCTCGAGTAGGATTCATGTGTAGGCTCCGGGTATAAATATTGGACCCCCAGCTATTGTAAAGGATACACAATCAATCAAATACAAGTTACTTACTTTTTTCGGCTCCGGCCACTCCTTAGGAGTAGGAGTAGAGTAGATCTCGGCGAGTTCTTCAGCGAGCAGAGCTGCATCGGTCTGGCTGACCTCCGGCTTGTCTGTTAGTACCGTCATGGCTTATACTTCTGTTCATACGGTAGCATCGATCCAGTCGACCTCCACTGCGACTCTGGTATAAGCTAGTTATCGACTCTTGTTTAGTTCAAGTACGGCTGCATCGATCCGGTCGACCTCCACTGCTCGAACTAGATTAAAGTCAAGTTATCGGCTCTATCTAAGGGTGGCGTTCCTTCGGATAGATTCATTAAGTTACCGATATTGCTTATTGCTTTCATTATTTATTTAATTATAGCAATATCACTTTGCCCGATTGGGATTGATCTAGATCGGTCTTATATCCTGTTTAACTCATCGTTTGTTAATCTAAACTGATCTAATCTGCATCTTAAACGATGAGTTATATTTTATCGGCTGTTTTACATCAATCTTGATCATGCATAGTGTGCGATTAAGGCATGTTTGATCTTGAATGGATCTATTGGCTAACGAAAACCGTTCCGTGGCCCGTTATCACGGCCTGTGTGATTCTGCCTCACACCCCACTGTTAGCACCATGGAGTGGGGATCGTTATTTGGTAGATCTGTTCCTGATAGGGCATGACCTTAACTGTGCGCTATGCCTGAATCGGCTGGTTTAGCCGATATCGAGCGCTTTCACATACGCAGTTCACGTCATGAGACCGTTGAAGTAGAGATATGTTGAAAGATGTGTTAGCCCCATATATTACGGCCTGCATGATTCTGCCTCATACCCCACTGATATTAGTAATAAGTTAGGGTCGTCGAATTTATCATTGTTTCTACGGCCTGCATGATTCTACCTCTCCACTGGTCATAGCGGTAGATGAGATCTAATATGTTCATTAGATTTATCTTTATTAAATGGTTAAATGATGATGGGCTGCTTCTTTTATATAAAAAGGGATTCGGTTACTTGCAGTCATTGGTTCAGCATAAACTGATTATCGTTAACATCCTATTGCCATTGACTAATATTTGTTTAAGTAATGATATTCATCTTGAGTGATAACCGATTTTCTTCCACAACCCCATGAGCTTTAACTAATTTATTCTTATGAATATGCTGGAATCGACTATTTAGTCGATCTCCTTTCATATCGGCTCTAGAGCCGCACATTCGGGACTGTCTGGCAACACCGGCATGTTTCGCCTTAAATTACTGATTAGCTTTCTCTCCTTGTCAATTGCAGGGTCAAATTGACTGGCACATCTCGGGAGGAGTACGCAGGGTCGACCACCCCTGCGTTGAAGCCAGGCGGATCTATAGCTCCATTGAGCAGACCCTTCCGGCTTGCTCGTGTGCCCTCGGCACGGGACAAAATTTCGTGCCGACACACGTTCTTGGCACGCCCGATGGGACCCCACAATCGTCATGGTGGTTTACAACAACGACGACATCCTTATGGTACACTACGAAGACCTACCTGATGGAGATAAATGTGTCATCAGCAAAGCTATAGAAGAGTTTCAGAATAAGTGTTTGTTGTCCTACATCAAAACACATGACAACACAATTGTTCAGAAATATCCACTACCAAGAGTTTTATTGCACGAGCAGTCAGATGCAGATGAAGCTGAAGATAGACATTTCTTCACGGAAGCTGTAAACAAATCTATTCGTGACGCCATATCAAACCATAATGAAGCTTTCTTGGACATATTCCACAATGCCATGAAAGAGGTGTTTCATGGGTTTCTAGTTGGTCAGGTTGGGCTGGCTTATTACAACATTCCACATCTGTCAACCCAAAGGACTAATCAAGTCAGTACCAGCCATCAAGAAGCAGTACCAGCTGGTAATGATGATATCCAGGCAATTCAAAGTTCATCTGAACAAACTCAAGGTACTACTACGAATCAGACATAGTACAATCCTGGATCGTCGATGCAGCACGTGCAACAGCCAGCGGGGAAAGGTCAGAACTAGGCGATTAATTTTGGCACATCGTGCCACATACCATCATCGGCTCAAAAAATAGCACCATCAATTCAAATGATCCGTAGAGATATAGATCCTCATGTCTATAATCAGAGACTTCAAGCAGCAAACCAGCAAAGGACCCAGCAAATAGAGATTCCATAGGGGTATCATTATGGCACAGAGTATAACACCCTCCACATGATTCTGAATCCTAGGTATCAAGGCACACGGGATTTCAATCCACAGATGGGTCAGCAAGTGCAGAGAAATCCAAATTCACATACTGACGAGTTGTTGCTAAAGGTGACCGAGATGATAAAGAATTAGTTCGGTCTGAAGCCAAAAGGGCTAACCTATTCGTACAAACACCCATATCCAGAATGGTATGATTTGATCGCTCTTCCTGCAAATTACAGACTCCCAGAGTTTGCTAAGTTCACTGGCCAAGATAGCACAAGCACAATAGAACATGTCAGCCGGTATCTTACATACAGTTGGACGAAACATCCATTGAAGAGGCCCATCGAGTTCGTTTCTTCTCCTTGTCCCTGTCATGGCCAGATTTCACTTGGTTTTCATCACTGTCAGTCATCTCCGTTGCCAATTGGGCTGACCTAGAGAAGAAATTTCATACATATTTTTACACTGGGACAGGAGAAAAGAAGATTACCGATTTGACAACTATAAGGCAGAAGACTAACGAATCAGGCACTGAGTTTCTTCAGAGGTTTTGAGAGACTAGAAACTTATGCTTCTCATTAAACTTGGTTGATGATTAGCTAGCTGCTTTGGCTGTTCAAGAAATGCTGCCAACATGGAAAGAAAAACTGCTGGAACAAGAATTTAACAACTTGGGTCAATTGGCTCAACGAGTGGCGGCGCTCAATAGCTAATTCCAGAGTATGCGCAGAGATACCTAATTTCAGAAGAGTACTACAGTGGCCGAGGCTTATAATCCATACTCAGTCGATGACGGCTATGAGGATGAAGAAGAAGAGGTTGCTGCGGCTAAATGGAATTGGGACAAAAAGACATTAATGGTACCAAATCCTTAGGGAAAAGGAGTCGAGGAGAGCTATGACTTTGACATCACAAAATCAGACAAGCTCTTCGATTTCTTGCTTGAGAAGGGACAAATCAAGTTGCCTGATAATCATGTTATGTTGCCCCCTGATCAATTGAAGAATAAGAAGCTCTGCAAGTTCCATAACGCTACTTCTCATTCCACTAATGAATGT